GATCTGGACGGCGAGGAATTCGAGTAGGTCATCCCAGTTATGGTTCGAGGGAGAGCGATAAAGGCAGCAAATAAATTTGGGTGATGTTTTGGAGTTGAGGCGAAGCCACAGAATGTCCTTCCGGTCTGATTCCAAAGAAAGATCCCTGGAGCAGGAAAGACTGCTGCGGACAAAAGCCACAACTCCCCCGTTCTTTCTCAGATTGGAGTGCACCTTGTAGTTTGGGAAGTTGAGATGGTTGATCGGTGCAGTCTCTGAGATTTTTGTCTCCGCCAAGAAAAGCACGGCGGGACGATTGGATTGCAGGTAGTGATCAACAGCATCAATGTTGCTGTTGATCCCGCAGATGTTCGAAAAACAAATTTTATCTTCGATGTTGTTCCCTCGAGCCCACCCTCCACCCGGACATTCCGAGAGTGGAGTGAGTTTACGTCCGGAGTTTTTAGTGCTCGAGGGATCCATTATCATTAATTTCTTTGTTTTCGTAGATAACCGACTGCATAGCTTAGGTGTGGAAACATGCGGACATTTATAAGACACCCTGGGAAAAGCTAGCGGGTGGTACTGCCTCGGTCGACTGGTCCTTGTCTACCACCTTCTTTTTACGTGTTAGTGATGTTAAATAGACCTTAAGTGGCCCGTTGGCGGACTTGTACCGCCACCCGGCAATCGGTATTGAGGTATTCCTTAACGCGTGCGCAATCACTTGGACGGGAAGAAGTTGTATACTGGATACAACGACTTCCGGAACAAGCATTTGCCACGGCCCTCGCTCAGTAGGGGGTTTAGACAAACTAGGATATTTTCAAATACTACAAAGTCTGCACCACACCTACGTCCTGTATATACATTATACGATATAAAAGAAAAGTGTATGAAGCCTATATTAGCGCATGTTTGGTATTAATGCCCTTTATTAACCTAAAAATGGGTGCATAACTAAAGTTCTTCCCATCACGTCAGCAGTGACTCCCCTATATAGAGAGTTTCATTGTGGCGAGAAATATTCTAATCATGGTTATTGATCACTAAGCCCCTAACTAGTACCATAAAATTCATGTTAATTAAACCGTATAATTTAGTTACTTAGAATAATTTAAAAAAAATCATTATAAGTAATTAAAATTTTCCAGAACAGCAGTTGACCACGTTTTCTCAGCAGATTTGTACTATGACCCCAGTCATGCTGCTCCCCAAATTTCATCGGTGCTGTTTCCGAGGCTACAACGGTAAAATAACGCCAACCGACAGATTCACCGACGGACATGGCAACGAAATAAGTGATATGGATTTACGTTTTGTAAACATCGCACAACAAACGAGAGAAATTGACAACAAAATTATACAGGGTGACTTAGAAGTTGAGTCATTAATTTTCAGATAATGATTGTAGAAGGAAGATAAACCAAAATATGTGTGTAAAAATAAAAAAAATAAAAGAAATGTTACCTTGTTTTATAAAGTATCCTCCCGACAAGTATTTCAGTGCGGACCTGTATTTGATCGTGCGGTCTTGGAACACCGGCATGCCCTCCCCTATGAGGTCTTAAGTCACCTGATTCACGAGCCCTTTGTACTACATTAACAAAGGCACGAGGGGTTGGTTGCACTCGATTGGGAAACCGATTCGCACAAATTTGTGATGCCGCGGCAGCATTTGGTAAAGACTCCCCCCCCCCGTAAATAAGAATCATGTCCACAAGTTCAGCATTTTCGTAAACATGTGCCATTTTTGATTTCGTTTGAGCCACGCAACAGACACCACTATTCACTCACGCGTTACCGACTGACACTGACTGTATACAACTGAATAAAATAATTGTAAAAACATCGTTCCAAATTCTTTCGCTTTTTTGTTTCCGATGCGATGAACCGATAAGGCGGATTATATCCGTTGTTGCCAAACACGAGCACATAAAATTATTATTGAGACAGGGCGGTACTCAAACTTCCAAAGGGCTATAACTTTGTTACTTTAATTTTACCAGAAAAATGGTAAAGGAAAAAACATTTCTTTTGATCAGATCTACTCACTGTTAAAATAAATGACTCAACTTCGAAGTATATTATTTGCTTGCTTGCCTGGAGCGTTAACCGAAAATTCAGCACTTTGCCTATATTCCATTATCTATTCATATTATTTAGCGCAAGTGTTTTTTTTTGTGATAAATCTTTACATCGAATTTTACCCTCCATTTGGGGTTCGACACGACAAGGTAGGGTCCCCGACAAACTTTGATATGGGGCTCCTCAGGAGGAAGCAACGCCACTGACGTCAAGCTTTCCTGTGTTCCGATGTCTGTATTTTGATTACAATTTTTTCAGATAAGCTAGCTAGTTATTTCCTCTCACTTGGAGGAGAATCAACTTCTCCGAAACGGCAGATATTAAACTTTCCAACAACAGCCCTTGCTGATACTGCAAAAAAGAAAAACCCAACAGCACGGTGGAAGTCCTACTTATCGCGTACATTCTGTATCAGAATATCTTGGCGCCGCCAGTTCTCTTTTAAAACATCTCGTGCAGGCACTCACTTGAAATTCAGAAGCCGTGTCGGGAATTTTTTATCGTGGAAAACTTCCCGGTAACATCTTGTATGTGCTGGGAAAGGTCGACCTCCGCACGGGCGGGTGTACGAATAAAGATGCCGGAGTAGAGACTTCAACTCTCTTCCCCTGATGGTTACAACCATACGGTTATTACCCAAGGGGCTCACGCATTCGTCTCCAGCAGCGTATACTTATGTGAAGAATAATAATGATGGTTTTGGGACTTGGCTAGCCTGCGTTAATTTAGAGGATGAAATGAGACTCAAGTCACTAAAAATATTTTTATACAGAATCTCTCTAAAGACAGTGGCAGCATTTCTATTCTAAAAGGTAGATCAACAAATAACAAAAAAATCCTGTTTATACTGGATGCCCCATCCATGCGAGGGCAGAACATTGCTTCTACACCGAGAACTAAATTTTTTTCTCGAATTAGCATGCAAGTTGAAAGTATGCGTTAGTTTGTGCTCTACGTCCCAATTATGGTTTTATTTTGAGCGTACATATTTTTGAATTGTGAATTGTGTCGAATCTGTTTAGGACCGATCTTAGGTCGAAATTAGAGGTCCGGATAGCCACAAATTCTGCAACTCTGCAACATTGGTTCACTTATCGTACATTCCAAGGCAAAGTTTCCAACTCCATGATCATAGATCAGCAAAATGAATAATTCTAATCGAAATGAAAGCAAAATATTAAATCAAATGTTCGAACAGACCTCCGTCTTGGATTGTAGAGGCCTGTGGGAACATTGCACGATATTCTGCGTCACCGTTGCTAGGCAATGTGATGATGACCTTCGCTCTTCAGCCGGCTTTTATCTCTTTCTAACATGTTGTGTTGATACACATTTCTCGCGCTTCTCTCTCGTACACATTGAACTCAAGCCGTCAGATAAGGTTTTCCCTGTATACAGAAACTACTTATAAAAAACTGTTTCTAGGTTATGGGTTTATAGAGTGTCTCAATTTTGATTCAGATATGAGTTCTGTGAAGATAACTAGTTATAAGCCTGAAATAGATAAAAACGAGAAATAAAACAGAAAACTTAACGTTTCTTTTTTGTCTAAATTGCCCTATTATCAGCACTTTATGTAGAGCTTCTACCACCCAATAAAAAAAATTAGTTCTTGAACAAATAGACTTCCTTAAAGTTTAAGAACGATTTGAGACTGTTTTTGAAACAGCGAGAAGAAAATAGTAGAGTACAGTACAGTACAGTAAAGGTACATTCAGTAGACGTATGTGGTTTTGGTTACTTATTAAACAGAAAAAGCACTGGCGTTTTATCTTTTTGATCATTCTAGTGTATTGGTGTTGCGAAACCAATTACTCAATCGATCCACTTTATTGTCTGGCAACACTGACTTTTTGTTAAATACACTCAGCTGTACTGCACGTAATTGAAAATGTGTTATACACAAAATACTGAAACAAGATTAACTGATGCGGAGAAATTTGTCTTCACTTTCCTTCGCTATTTTTTAACGTAACTAATTTTTGCTTTCGCCATATACTGGGTGTTTTAAATTCGACCCTCAGGATACATTTTTATTTCCTTATAATTATTATTATAAATTCATGGCCAACTAAGGAAATACATCGCTGAATATAGGACTGCAAAATGCATTTGAGTGCATAAAATTCCGATATAGTGTCCACATGAAAAAACGAGCTGGTGATGGAAGGAAAAAAGAAACCTGGAATTGAAAATTTGTAGAAGAGAAAAGTACTAATAATAACATTTTTAAAATCTGATTAAACCTAAATTCAGGAAAAAGTGAAAATAAGTTTGTGGCAAATCTAGCTTACTAATGTTCGGCAACTCAACGTATGACATTTTTGGAATCAGAATTGAAAACTCTAGCCACCTGTGCAAAAATTTAATAATAAAATAAGAAAAAGTAAAGAGACGAAATATCATCTTGAAATTCTAATTGTGGCATCTTGTAGAGAAGAAAGAGTGGCAATGTTGATTTGCAATTTATTTTGAAATCCCACTACAAATAAAGTCTGGAGAAAACTAAAATCATTTTTAGAAAATTCGTGTTTTTGCGTCTCTCTTCGGAAATACTTTGAATTTTCTAAGAGGCATTTGGTTAATTACCTAAATAAGCAACTTTGCCCCCAGTTAAGCGACTTCGCATCTCTTACCGTTTCCGAGATTCCAATGTCAAGGGCCCAATTTGAAACATCCGGTATGTGCACACGATTTTCAGGCATATAGCGTGCAATCCGTAATTAGAAACAAAAACAAATGTGATGAATAACGTATCGTATCTAGATGAAGTAATCAAAATTACAATTTTCATCAAGCATTTTATTTATATTTACCTTGACTGTTCCACTAATGATGTATGCTTGTTGTTCCCTTTCAACGAATCAGTGAACTCAAATTCGATGTATATAATACAAACATTCCGTCAGTGACAAGCATAATATGTTAGCTGCTACAAATTATAGAGAACAATGTATGGCAAATTGTGCGTCGGATAAATAATATTGATTATAATTACATTACAAGTTAGACCTATTGAATTTATCTATAAGGGCATCTGCACATCGATTAATATGAGAGACTGGTGCTGCGCATTTTCATGTCCAGTATGGTTTGTATATCTGTCTGTCTATCCTCTGATCTTGGATGACTCGGAATATTCTGGTCGGATTTTGATGAAATTTCGAAACAAGATTATTTCTGTTCCAAGGACGGTATTGAAAATCGATCCAGTGGCCGCAGAGCTTCAAGCAAAAACAAAGAATTGACAACCGCTCAAACGCACTTGTTCCCCCTCCAGATTCCTTTGCATTTTATATCAGTTAAATAAGGTTCTGATCTCGGCTATATTATGTCTTACCTATAAAGCACAATAGCCATAGATGTTTTTCTTAAGTTTCCTATTGAAACAAAAATAACCCCATTTGAGTCTTTTGAACAGACTTGGCCAATTCTTTTTTGAGAGCACCAAAAAATGTCTGGCATGCCAGCTCAAAAACAACATAATACATGGAACTTACATAAAACTGGCAATTATAATTATAGCGCTAAGATAATACCTAAGTATAGTTACACATATTTATATAGAACAACATAACACTACTTCTTCTCCATTAAACACTATCATCTTGCTTATACAAGAAGTTTTATCCATCAAGGGGTATACTGGTATATTTTGATGAGCAGCGTATTTATATACACCCTGAAACATGAGAAGTGATGTCAAGTACATGGTTTCTGGTTTCTGGCAAAGAATCATATATCACTTGGAGGGTATTTACATGTAGAGACTCTGAGGGTGTTTATGTCGCTACCACTGAAGTATTTGCACTAATGACAACTGTTTCTACAGGATTTCTTAGTATAGATATTTCTGATTCAAAGTAAATTATTCTCGGCTATGGGCGCCCATATAGTAAAGTTCAAAGAGAACCCATGGCGGTCCCAAAATTCATGTTCAGCAAAATTTTAGTCAGGGGAAGAGATGGCTATCGGTTATTGAAAAATGAAACAAAAAAAATAAACCTTGAACTTTCCATTCCATGGGCTACAGCTTGAACGTCTTGATGGGTTTTGACATATAAAATCAAAATGGCGGATATTAGTCGAAAATTTCAACTTTCAGATTCCTATTCTACGGGCTACATCTTAAGAGCCTTAATGGTTTTTGTTATATGAGGTGTATCTAGATTTGACTGGACAGTGCGAACGCCATTGGGTGTAATAAAATTTTATAAAATCCTAGCTACCAGGTATAATTCAATACCTGAAATATATAAGCGATAATCTTTGTCAACATTCCGCATGTTTACCTATTTACCATCCACCTAATTTTATCATTTCTGCATATACGATGTATTATAATTTTTGATGTACTCATTTTCTGGTGTTCTTTTGTATGTAATGTTTTGAGGTATGTAAGACTTACACGTTTCTGTATTATGTTACCAATCGCTAACTTGTTGGTTAAGTGTAAGACTAGCGGATATTAAACTTCGCCAATCAGTTAGTTTGTTTCAAATAAAAATTATTATTATTATTATTATTATGGTTATCATTATTATGATGATTATTATTATTATTAAATATCTGAATTCACTAAAAAAAACTGCAATGTTAAAATTAGGATGGTTTCTTCTAAAAAGCACTCATCATTGACAAACTTTCATTAACAGCAGCGTAGTAGTCTTGGAGATGTAAATCAACTTCTGGGAGCATTTTAAACACAGTTTATCAACCTAAACTTTTTTAAACGGGCCAAGAAATCATTCCCTATAATAATTTAAATGACTTCGGAAGCATTCCGTAGGTTAGCGAGAGATGAAAATAGAATACAGTTGAATAGAGAAGTGTAGCGAAAAAAATCCGGATTACTAATCTCTATTATATTTATTATCTATATTATGCACTTTGACAAAATGTCATACTTATGTATAATCAGCTTCTCGAAAAACCTGTTCTGATACATGTCTATGATGTAACCATGACCAACAATAGACAGCGCTGTTTCATGCTCTTTAGCAACCCATCAGTGCTATATAGGTCCACAAATGGGTATGGTCTTTTGAGTAGCTCAAAATGTTCTGTGCAAGCAGGTGAGAAACGACTCCTACAAGTAGTGTGCCAAAGACCTATACTATACTAAACAGCATGAAACAGCGCTGCGTATGGTTGGTCATGATTACAGAGACGGAAAGCAAATATATTCTGTTCAACTAATATACATTTATGCATAAAATATCATAACCCGACAGCTTTGTGAATACTTAGCATTTCGACTACTTGGTGTAGACAGTTAAAATGGTGGAATGAGCCAGAAGACGTAGGGATCTTTTTGCCATTCAAACATCTGGTCTTAGTTTTGGCAAACTACTAGTAGGTGTCGTTTATCACCTACTTGCACACAGCATCTGTCATTTTTACTTACTGGTTTCAAAGGAAGAGTTAAAGGTGGTTCATATCGGATTGCTTTACTCAACGGAGACTGCCTGTCTTCTATAACATGTCCAATATTCCTCAGAGTGAAGTTCATACAGCTTCCACAGTCTCGCGAATCAGATTTTTTACATTTTTTGTCTACTGTCATAATCAGCTGAAAACAAAATTTTAGTGTGAGCAGATATCAACAAAAACTTCAAAAATATTGATGCCGCATCTTATGGGTCTATCAGTTTCCCTGGACTGCCCAGTCTTTTTTTTAATTCTAGACTAAATTCCGAACTTCCGAAAAAATATGTGTTGTAGTCATTTTACTTAACTCTCCTTGTTGTCTTGTGGTTTCGGGTTATGACTTTGTTGTATGCTTGGATATTTTTTTAATTGCAGTTTAAATAATGGCGGCACTAAATGTAGAGGAACTAATTGAATTTTACAGTCGCAGGTTAAGAACTCCTTATCTATTAGCTCCTTAAGCTCCTTTCCTCCACAAAACAAAAAAACTTCGATTTATCCAACCATAGACAATTATCACTACGATCCCTAGACAGTTATAATTGGCATCTCGGGGATTCTTCAGGTATCGCGCGCAGGATAGTTCATTCTTTTGACAGCTCTGAATTCCTTTTCTTTTGAACCTAGGATCACCCACTAGCCAAAAGTTAGGATATTTTTACAACGTTTTTGCGAGGTTAACATCTGCTGAACATAATGTTTTATAAAATGGTGACAGCTTTGCGTGGAAGGTGCAGTGTCAACCTACTTGATGCACAGTTTTCACGATTGATTCCATAGGTGTAAAATTTTCTCCTACCTTTGTGAAATTTGTCACGGTGCTTGTTACAACCAAGCTGTGGTCGAAAATTATGTTTCCATTAATACTTTTTGGTTCAACGTTTATAAGTCGCATCTTTGCATTTGGGAACTCTTGGCAATATCCTTCCAGTCTGATCATATCCACTGTGGCCTACAAAAAAAGGTAAGAACGAAGTCTAGGGTGATAGCTACTTACAATTCTCCATTGTAATAGTAGCGTTTTTGCTTTGAAATACTATTTTAGCCTTTATATGTATACATAGCCCAGGGAAATTTTACACTTGAATATGCAAAAGCTAGAAGAGCCACAATTGCTTCATTACATTAGGATTATGAACGCTACCAAAGATATAATCCATTGTACTGTCACTGCTTGAAATATGGGATTAAAAATATTTATTTTACTGTTTGATCGTTCTGAGAGACAGTTTATAAAATAGTTTTGAAGGCTAAAAGACAGCAACTGAAAAAACTGTTAAACTGGTGACGAGCATCCACCAACAGTATTCAAAGCTATATTAGTATGATGCTGAAAATATATGAAATTGGCGACTCTCTAGTTGTTCCATATACGGATATAGTAGTATAATGTAGTCTCAGACAGAACCTCTGAATTTTATACATTTTCAGCAACATGATAATTTAGTTTTGAATTCTCTTAGCCGGTGCTCGCCACCCTTAAATTATATCCTTTAATTAATAATTTGGTTAATAGTTTCCCACATACCTTGCAAAAACAGGAGAAGGAAATAGCTAGTACAAGAACAGCATACTTTTTCTCATGAGTATACATATTTAATCTTTTGCTTTTGTGGATGATTCAGAATAAAAAAAAATAATAATCGAATAACGTGTAATCGCTGGACAACTACAACTGTTTGTTTATCGCCCATTTCTGCAAATTATGTATATTCCGGTAAATTACAACTATAATTACCTGTCTATTCTAGATTATAACTATTCTGCGTTACACAAAATCACTCATTATCCGCACAACAAATCGTTGAAGCATTATCAAATGGTAGCATTGATTCTAATGGGTAGTTACAATCACCTGTCGCGCGTGTACATTTTTTTAGGCTTGTTACGGTCGAAATTCCACAATCAGCTTGGACTAGTCAATTTGTTAGCTTTGTCGAGCAGTAGGAGTGTTCAAGAGGTTAATATCAACCTTTTAAAGGGTCCTCGCACACCCTATTTGGAACACAGAAAGCCACATATACCTTAGCTCAAAGTCGAATAGCAACAACAACGCAGCAATTATGTGATATCCCAGCGAAAAGCCAAAACCTTGTCATAATCCATCGCTTGTTCAATAATGAAAAGCAACACCTTAGCTCTGTAATCGTTCTTATTTATCTCAATGTATTGTATTCTTGAACAAAAATTCCAAGTAATCTAAAAATGGCGTAGGTACACTTTATAAAGAGTAATTTTTGTTTTATAAATGGTCCGATTTTGCAGCATTATGAAGCTTTTCGAGAGCGTCATGGGGAACTTTCACCACGACGTAATTTGAGATCACCAATCTTCCACCGCTCCTGATCTTTCTTACGAATATAGAAAGCGACACAGCCGTCATCTTTTTCAAAATCATACGAAATCTCATTGATAGTGACAAAATTAACCGTTAACTCAAACATAAAATAAGAATCGATATTTTTTCGAACTGGTATACAGTTCCAACCGAGGACTAGCTATTCTCACTTTCGCAGTGGTAGATTCTGGTATTACATAGTACTTTGTGTAGTCTTATTTCGATAGACCTTATAAAAGTGATTACATTACTTAGTACCTTGTAACTTATTTAGAGAATGAAAACATAGGATAAACCTGAAATTTAATATACAAAAATACAATTAACATTTTCAAAGACTTTACGAAACTTCAATACAATCTACACACCCCAAAAGTAGAAAACCGTGATTCACTATGGATTTTCATGTTCTGCAACATTAAACACTCGTCAAAGAACAAAATGATATACATGTTCACTATGCTTTTAAAACGGACTTTTACTTGAAATCTAGGTATGATTTTGAAAACGTTGGATCCAATTGTTGCGTAAAATGATTATTTTATATGCTTAATGCTATAAAATTATACAGTAAATCTGGTGTTTTCAATGTAGCTCTCTGAATGTGTAGTTAATTTTGATTTGTTTCGATTGAGTAAACAACATCAATGAAGGTATTACTGATATTATTACCAGTGTTAGGAATTTTCGGTTTATTGGCGGAAATATAGAAATTTCTGTGTCTTTCTGAGGTATGCTTTGACTGGTTTGGTATGTCACCAGAGTATTGAAATAATATCTAAAGTTCTATATTTTAGTCTTAATGTAACACAACTTAATTATGCTTGAGTATTCACGCTCATCCAATTATTTTCATCCAATTTTAGAGTTTTTGTCAGACAATACACATTAAAACAGAAAATATACCATCTATGAGGTTTTCAAGCTTAAATACTTTAGAGCATATACATTTTCAAATTTCATCAACCTTTTTCTTTCTATTTTACTACTTCAATGTTTTTTTAAAGCGCAAAGTTCGAAATTTGGCGTTTTTGTCCAAAAGTCACCCATTTTAGAATATTTAGCGTAGGTATTTTCAAAGCGCGTGACCTTCTACTTCAAATCTATAACACATACAATAACAGATACAGAACATATATTCCTACTTACTATTATAAATGACAGAGTGTGTATGTTTGTTATTAAATCACCCCAAAATGGCTAAACGGATCTGGATGAACTTTGCTACTGATATGTGGTAGTAGTAGTGGTGGGGAGGCGAAGCCTGACAACTAGCTTTGACCCTTTTTGCTGACTCCGTTGTATCATCACTGAACTACTCCACGAGCCATGTGCTAGTAACTAACATAATAAACCAGCTCTAGTAACGAGATGCACCTATCGTTAATACTCCACCCACGTACGTAATTTAGACAACACACGATACAACATCCATAGCCCGGAATTCGCTTCCGACGCGGAGACTCGAATCCTCAAGCCTCGGATTGGTGGCCCGGCCCGCTACCGAAGCTGCCACATAGCTACCCTTTAGCACGAGAAATAACTATGGTCGATATTTTTCACGGGCTACAGTCCAAAAGGCTTAATGGACATTTGTCTGACGCGGAAGGACTCACACATTTACATCGTGCATTTACTGCATTTCGACATTCGTTTTCATTCAGATTTGTTTGGCGTTTCGTCTTACTTCAAATACAATACTGTGAATGGTTATTAGATTATTTTTCATACAGCCTTCTTCTCGACACAGATGTTATTGTCCATGGAGTCCGTCACCACCATGTCTGAGCCACAATACAGACAGAAGTAAAAATGTGTAAACTTACCGACTGATACCGGCAGGGGTATTACGTATCATGAAAAATGACATAATGCCGTTTTTTTAACATTATGTAGGTTTTTTATGACATTGTGTAGGTTGTCCTACTATATATCAATTAGGAATGACAAGGCGTCAAGTTTATGAAATATCAGTGCCGAACTACTAAAAGCAGCTCCAAGTAGGATAGTACACATTCTAGTTAACATATGTAATAAATGTCGGCGTGGTAGTGATCCGCCTACTGACTGGAAAAAGGCCAATATAACATGAGTTTATAAGAGGGGAAGCAGACGTGATTGTAACAGCTGCCGAGGACTTAGAGTCATATTTTCGGTAGCTAGATTATATGGAAAGATGTTAAAGTCTAAACTTGAAGATTCTGGATTCTGAAGAACAGAACGGCTTCCGATCTGGCCGATCATGTATTGATGGGATCTTTACTTTGAATAATCTAATTGACAAAAAGGTAGAAAGGGGTAGACCGGTACACTTAACATTCATTGATTTACAAAAGGCCTATGCACTGTCCCATTATGGATGCTATGGGAATGCATGATCGAATGTGGTGTTGATAGGGTCTAAGTGAATGCTATCAAATATCTGTATTGTGGGTGTACCAGCATGGTCAAAAGCGGTAGACAGCTCTCAGAGGAATTCCCAGTAACCAAGGGTTCTCACTTGCGCCGACCCTTTTCAAGATATATATTGAAGCAGTTTTAAGAAACTGGAAGAGGAAATGTTGCCATATGGGATTACCAGTGGGAGAACATGTCCTATATACCCTTTTATTCGCTGACGACCAGGTTTTGATAGCAGGTGATAGAGAGGACCCGTGTTACATGTTTAGGAAACTGAAAGATGAGTACGTGAAAATTAATGTAAAAAAACCGAGTACATGATTGTAGCTGACAGCTATAGAGATGATTTGGATGTTGGAAACCATAGCTTACAGAAAACGACATCATTCAAATATCTGGGTCTAACGTTAGCAATTAGACAACTAAATTCTATTCTATGGAGCACTAGAGTGACAAACAAAACAAAGAAATTGAAATTCAAAGCTATAGTAGAAAGTATCTGTACCTATGGGAGATGGCGAAAATAAAAAAAAGAGGGTTGATGTCCCTGGAGTTGCAGAATTTCCAGACTAGAACATGTTAGAATTAGACAAATTATGGGAGTAGACCACAACATTTCAGAAACGATTGAAACAAAAAGACTACTTTGGTATGGTCACTTTCAACGTATGGGTAACACAAGATAGCCCAAAAAAGTCAATGAGTGGGTACCACGACAGCGTCGCAGACGTGGTAGACCTCGTTGGATGTAAGATGTTGAAGAGTCCATGATATCCAGAGGACTCAAAGAGGGAGATTGCATGGACCGAAAAACCCGCATATATATATATATATATATATATATATATATATATAGGTGAAAAATTAAAGCTTCCGCCTTTTGTTGGGTACTTCGACAAAATTTAAGCAAAGAGGACTCTTTATACTTTTTTAATTCTCTCTAGCTTTCAATGGACTTTGCCATCATCATCAGGAGCTGCAATTACAATGATAACAGTAGCAACAAAGGTGTAAAATGAATTTAAATTGACTCAACTTACAGTAGTATGTGAGGATGTTGCTAATTGTTGTTTACGTATAGGATGAGGGAAACGTCCAGTAACATGGTGAGAGCTGGATAGATTGTACAATGGTCAAAATTATATAAAATATGACAAGAATAAGTTAAAAACAGATTAAAAATTATTTAAAAAACATTAGAGCATTACATCGTGAAGCCACTTGATGATTGCACAAATTAGTGGTCATGGAATAATGAGTGACATGAAACCCTTTGACAGAAGGCCGAAGGATGTCAATGTCAGTGTTGAAAGATGGAACGAATTGTGGGCGTGTGCCAAACGTCGCCAAATCACTTCAGATGATGAGATTTTCAGAATTTTATGTTAGAATTTGTTAAACCGACCAGAGGCAGTTGAATAAACTATATTTTATTAATGGGAATTTAAATTAACAATTATTAATAAATCGTGAGGAGAGAATTATTATATTTTGAGTGGAATGAAATTTACTGGTGGAATCGGCCAAAACACAGATTCTAATTATGGTTGTGAAGAGTTGAAATTTGGGGAGATATGTAAGTTCTCCAATTTTTCGCAGTTTAGCAAATATGAGTAAATGACACTCAGTTGTTTAACATCTGTCTTTTTGTTGATACAGTTGTTATTCATGAAAATGTGGGACATTTCCAGGAATAAACGTTTGGAAAGGTGTTTTTCTTTATCAAGAACTTTGATACTTGTGTAATTCATAGAATGCCCTGTTGTGTTAACATGAGATGCTAGAGCGCATCTTTCAGGATGAAGCCTAGCATCACTTTTGTGTGATGTAATCCTTCCTTTAAGAGATCTGGAGGTCTGACCTATGTATATTTGGTTGCAGTTGTTGCAATTGATGCAGTAGACTGTGTTGGTTAAGCCAAGCAGCGGGACTTTGTCTTTCATTTTTGAAAAAATGCAGTTTATAGTGAGGACGGATTTGCAAGCAATTCGAAAGTTCAAAGGACTGCACAATCTGATCAGCTTAGGGGTCAGTTCCTTGATGTAGGGCAGGACAGCAAAACCAGGTCTGGAGTCCGGGTTGGTGCTTGTACTGTTAGGATTGATGTTATTATTGGGAATTACATCAGTTCCGTTATTAGGGGTTGTGCGACTATTACCTGCA